CCGGAGCTGAGAGCTTCCTGTCTGGGCTCAGGATGTGGTAAGACGTCCGTTCTCCACACTCCTGTTGAGAATTGTGTGAGGAGTTCTCATGGTAGAGTGAGGTAAGGAAAAGAAACAAAAGGTGTCCAGATCTGAAAAGAAGCTAACCTCTATTTATAGATCCATAATCATTTCTGTAGATGGATTAGAAGACTCACCATTACTAGGTGTGAACTTTCTCAGACTGATTCTGCAGGGCTGCAACATAACCCCAATCAAAATCCCAGCAGGCTGTTTTCCAGAAATATGACGTGGTTCTTCTAGGGATGGATGGAAATATCAAAGCCTTAGAATATTGGAAGCAAGTCTACACAGGAACAATAAAGTTGGCCAACTGATACAGACAGCAGATGCATCCTGGTTAGACTCCCGAGGAAGTTGTGTAACCATAGCGTGATAGTTTTGTGCCGTCCATGCTCCTGTAGCATAAACAAACCAACAGCCTTCAAATTAAAATGAACCCTACCATATGTAAAAAAAAATTAAAAATATTTTTTTATGATTTATTTATATATTTGAGTGTTCCATCTGTATGTACACTTTATGCCAGAAGAGAACCTCACATTCCACTATAGATGGCTGTGAGCCACCATGTGGGTGTTGGAACTGAACTCATGACCTCTGAAAAAAGAGCCAGTGGTCTTAACCTCTGAGCCATCTCTCCAGCCCCATAAAAATGAATTTAAGAATATCAAGTTATTTACTTTTATTTATGGGTATGTGTATGTATGTATGTATGTGTACCATGTGCTTGCACTGCTAGCAGAGGCCAGAGGAGAGCATTGGTTCCCTCGGAACTGGAATCGTGCATGGTTGTGAGCTATCAGGTGAGTGATGGGAACTAAGCCTCTACAAGGGCAGTGACCAGGCATCTGATGTTTGAGAAAGATATGAAGGCAGTGCGGCTCAGACAGGCTGTTTAGGAGCCCCTGCTGGGACACTTGGCTGTCCTATACCTTATACAGAAAGTTAGTTCATAGAGCTTGGGCACAGGTACAGAGCTGCAAGCTAAGGAACTTAATGGAGGAGATAGAGAAGGTCTTCATATTTTTGACTTTGGTGAAGTGGTTTGTTTGTTTTAATTCAATACTAAAATAAAATTAAATATACAAACTAGAATTCATAAAAAAAAACAAATGTTTTCCCAGAGGGCACTCTTTTTTTTTATTAATTTTTTTTATTGAGAAAAGGAAAAAAAAAGTATCCGCCTCCTCCCAACCTCCCATTTCCCGCCCCCTCCTCCCACCCTTCTCCCCCTCCCCCCAAACTCCTCTCCTCCTCCCTCTCCAGTCCAAAGAGCAGTCAGGGTTCCCTGCCTGTGGACAGTCCTAGGTCCGCCCCCCTCCGTCCATGTCTAGGAAGGTGAACATCCAAACTGGCTAGGCTCCCACAAAGCCAGTCCATGAAGTAGGATCAAAACCCTGTGCCATTGTCCCTGGCTTCTCATCAGCCCTCATTGTTCGCCATGTTCAGAGAGTCCGGTTTTATCCCATGCTTTTTCAGTCACAGTCCAGCTGGCCTTGGTGAGCTCCCATTAGATCAGCCCCATTGTCTCAGTGGGTGGGTGCACCCCTCGTGGTCCTGACTTCCTTGCTCATCTTCTCCCTCCTTCCGCTCCTCACTGGGACCTTGGGAGCTCAGTCCAGTGCTCCAGTGTGGGTCTCTGTCTCTATCTCCATCCATCACCAGATGAAGGTTCTATGGTGATATACAAGATATTCATCAGTATTGCTCTAGGATAGGGTCATTTCAGGTTCCCTATCCTCAGCTGCCCAAGGGACTATCTGGGGACATCACCCTGGGCTCCTGGGAGCCACTCTATGGTCAAGTCTCTTGCCAACCCTAAGGCGGATCCCTTAACTAAGAATTGTGTTTCCGTGCTCCCCTGTTCAACCTTCCTTTATCCCAACCTCCTGTTTCCCCAAGTTCCCCCCCCTCCTTCCCTTCTCACTTTTCTCTCCCCATCTCCCCTTACCCTCATCCCACCCCACCCCCAAGATCCCAATTTTCTCCCCAGCTATTTTGTCTACTTCCCATAGCCAAGAGGATAACTATATGTTTTTCCTTGGGTTCACCTTCTTATTTAGCTTCTTTAGGTTCACCAATTGTAGTCTCCGTGACCCTTATTTATGGTTAGAAACCAATTATGAGTGAGTACATCCCATGTTCATCTTTTTGGGTCTGGGATACCTCACTCAGGATAGTGTTTTCTATTTCCATCCATTTGCATGCAAAATTCGAGAAGTCATTGTTTTTTACCGCAGCGTAGTACTCTAATGTGTATATATTCCATACTTTCTTCATCCATTTTTCCATTGAAGGGCATCTAGGTTGTTTCCAGGTTCTGGCTATTACAAATAATACTGCTATGAACATAGATGAACAAATGCTTTTGTCATATGATCGGGCATCTCTTGGGTATATTCCCAAGAGTGGTATTGCTGGGTCCAGGGGTAGGTTGATCCCGAATTTCCTGAGAAACCGAAACACTGACTTCCACAGTGGTTGCACAAGATTGCATTCCCACCAGCAGTGGATGAGGGTACCCCTTCCTCCACAGCCTCTCCAGCAAAGGCTATCATTGGTGTTTTTGACTTTAGCAATTCTGACAGGTGTAAGATGATATCTCAAAGTTGTTTTGATTTGCATTTCCCTGATTGCTAAGGAGGTTGAGCATGACCTTAAGTGTCTTTTGGCCATTTGAACTTCTTCTGCTGAGAATTCTCTGTTCAGTTCAGTGCCCCATTTTTTAATTGGGTTAATTAGCATTTTAAAGTCTAGTTTCTTGAGATCTCTATATATTTTGGAGATCAGACCTTTGTCTGTTGCGGGGTTGGTGAAGATCTTCTCCCAGTCAGTAGGTTGCCTTTTTGTCTTAGTGACAGTGTCCTTTGCTTTACAGAAGCTTGCCCAGAGGGCACTCTTAAGATGCCCCAAACACACACATCTTCCATATACATATATGCACAGATAGGAACGACACTGTTAGGATGCTTGAAAGCACGTGTGTTCATATACATACATCTGCAGATTGAGAAGACACGCTTATGATGCTCTGAACACACTTGCTTTTATACACAGATATGCACAGATTGGAAAGACAAGCCCCAGACTGTAAGATCTTTGCCAAGCATCTATTGAAGTAAGGGCTTATCTATCCAGAATGTGTGTGTGTGTATATATATATAAAACTCTCAAAATTCAAGAAGAAGAGGGTAAATCTAGTTAAAACACCAGATGAAGATTTTAACAGTTAAATGAAGTTCTGTGGGTAAAACAACAAGTCTCTGAATGGCATTCCGGCTCAGAGTGTGAAGTGAGACACCAGTGTTAGCTTTCTTGTTGCTATGACAGAGTGCCAGGCGGCGGCTGAAGTGAAAGGGTCATTGTGCTTGTGGTTCCAGCAGCTCAGGTTCATGATGGTGGGTGTGAGGGAGCCAGGAAGCAGAGGGGAGCAGAAACAGGAAAGGCAGGCTAAGTCCTTCGCTGTGCCCCAGTGACCTACTTCCTCCAGCCACGCCTCACCCCCACAGTCTGCCATACTCCAACAGTCCACTCAGATTTTTAATCCAGCATTGGCGTAAACTATTCATTAGGTCAGAGCCCTTATGATCTGATTTCTTTAGAAATGCCTCAGAAGTCTGCCTTAGTAATCTCTTCTGGATGTCCATCAGCCCAGTCCAGTTAACAGTAAGATAACTGGATGTCCATCAGCCCAGTGCAGTTAACAGTAAGATAACTGGATGTCCATCAGCCCAGTCCAGTTAACAGTAAGATAACTGGATGTCCATCAGCCCAGTCCAGTTAACAGTAAGATAACTGGATGTCCATCAGCCCAGTCCAGTTAACAGTAAGATAACTGGATGTCCATCAGCCCAGTCCAGTTAACAGTAAGATAACTGGATATCCATCAGCCCAGTCCAGTTAACAGTGAGATAACTGGCCCAGCCACATGTGTTAATTAGAAAGGCTAGGACTGTAAACATGAGCACGGCAAGTGTCATGCAGAGGACCTGCTGTCAGTAGGAGTGTAAAATAAGCAACTTTATAAACAGTTGAGCATCTCTCAAACACTTACATGTATATACATACACTAGCCGTTCCACTGATAGGTATTTACCTACCTTAAAAAGAAGTCTGTCCTTAGGAAGAGTCCCAGCAGCGTGACTTAGAGTAGCAAACGCCAGGAGCAGCACCCTGCCCACCAGCAGCAAACAGCACTCAGCCGTGGAGGAGCTGGAGACCCACACACAGGCGACTGACCAGCTGCTGAAGGAGCAGGACAAGACAGTATGGGCTGTGTCCCATTTGTTACACATTCTCAAAGCAGCAAGCCAGGATGGCAGGAAACTAGGCTGAGGGAGGGAGGGAGGAGAGGAGAGTAAGCTTAAGGTAAGTTCTCGGTGTCAAAGGGAAAAGTCCAAAAACACACATACATTTTAAGTAGTTGTGATAATCCTACAAAGTAGTTCATTAAAAAAGGAAAACTGGGTCCTGAAAGAGATGGTTCACTAGCTAAGAGCACTGATCTTCACAGGGCCCAGGTTTGATTGCTACCTCCCAAATGGTAACTCAACCATTTGTTACTTGAGTCCCAGGGGATATGGTCCTCTCTCCTGGCTTCCAAGGACACTGCACGCACATGGTGCATAGACATACACACAGCAACCAATGGAAACATTTCTTAAAAATGGAAAACTGAACTTTCTCTCAAGATGAATTCTGTTGCAGCTGGAAGTTGAACAGTGAACTGGGGTTAGTGATGGCTGTCTGCAGACTGGTGCGGACAGATGGATGTGCCGCCGCGGGTCTTCACAGGGCAGGGATGGCTGTCTGCAGACTGGTGCGGACGGCCGTGCCGCCGCGGGTCTTCACGTGCTTGCCCCCTTAAGGTTAGGTGTTAGTCTGCTGTGGACAGGAAGGTGATATGAAGAGTGACGTTCTCCCCTTCTCTTTTAAAGGAGTGACAGTTCCTTCAGGTTCTTTGTCTTCTTCTTCGTGTATATTTGTCAGTTTGCTGTCCATGTGCTCCAGGCCGCAGGATTTCATAACTGGGGAAACTGGTGAGTTATTTACTACTGTGCAGTTGCTAATTTAAAATTTGTGTAACAAATTTGGTGTCCTAGTGAGTTAAACATAGAAAAATCAGATTGGCCAAAGCAAACACAGAAAAACTAAAGTACTTTAAAAAAATCAATTTGAAAACATTCTAAAACATAATTTTAGAAAAGCTATTCTCTTCAAAGATTGTGTTCCCATTTTAAAACATCGTCACATTTGGTATCTGTTTTAAATACAATGTGTGCACAGTGTGCACTGGAAGGAGGTGTGTAGAGGAGACCAAAGAGATCAGAGAGAAGCAACAGGATTAGTACTGGAGAGAAGCACTCCAAGAATCAGAAGAGCCAGGCAGTGGTGGCACACGCCTTTAATCCCAGCACTCGGGATGCAGAGGCAGGTGAATCTTTGTGAGTTCGAGGCCAGCCTGGTCTACAAGAGCTAGTTCCAGGACAGGCTCCAAAGCTACAGAGAAACCCTGTCTCGAAAAAAACAAAACAAAAAACAAGAAAAAGAATTTAAAGGAAAAGTGTCCAAGTTAAGTATAAAGCATTGTTTTACACACATCTGTGCACACGGATACTTGTGTTTGGACATGCTTGAGAGTGAGTGTATGTGCAGGCACACACACTGTCCAACAGTGAAATCATTCTCACCATGGTAGATGCTCCCTCAGGAAGTAGAAGACATCTGGGGTTTGGACTAGAAGGTAATACAGACCTATGTAGTTTTCTTTCTCCATGGAGGGAACATCCCGTGTGAGATGGTGGGTAGAAGAGGGTGTGTCTTTAGAATCTTCGCCTCTCCAGTCTTTCCTTGTGTGAGCTGACTTCCTTCCAGCTTCTGCATGCACAGGCACGCACAGGCACCCAGGGTACTGCTGTTTACCATGTGTCCATTAACTGGAGTTGCAGTGAGCATAGAACTAGGGTATGTGAGCACTTGGATTAGTGCCCTGCCTCTGGTGGCAGTGGCTGCGCTCCTGGCAGATGCTAACAGAGACTGGAACTGGTTGTTAACTTAGTTCTTGAGAAAGCTATTTTTATTATTATTTTAGATAGTGGTTAGTCTGGCATGTAAAAGAGAGGAAATGCTTTAAATATTTTAAAAATGCACCGCTATAATGGTGTATGTATACATAAATGCATACATACATGCACACACACACACACAATTCTTTAGAAGTTGAAATGATTTTACCAGCTTCTTAATATAAACATAGGAAGGGATGTAAAGTTGAATGTAGCAGTCTGTGCCTACATACCACAGAGTCCACTAATGGGGACAAATACTGTTTTCAGCTGTACTTTACATAATTTGGGTATTTTTAAGTAAAATGAAGGTAATTGTAGATAGTCCTGTTAAGACTGTAGAGAGTTCCCAGGCATCCTTCACCCATTGTCCCCAATAGTATAAATACAGTAAAATATAAAAACAAGGACCTTGACACTGACAGAACATTTTCGTCACTGAGAGATTCGTGTTGCTCTTTGCATGGCCACACTTAGTGCTCTCCTGTCCCCACTCTTTCACCCTGGGCTTCTACTAAGCTATTTGTCACTTCTATTATTCTGCCATTGTAAGATGGTTATATAAACGGAATCATGTGGTCTATAAATACTGGCTTCCCCCTCAGCTACATGTAGCCCTTATTTTAATTCTTTATTTTTAAGATTTTATGTATTTTAAAATTTTATGTGTGAATGTTTGTTTGCCTGAGTCTGCATCATGTGGTGCATGCAATGCCCCTGGAGGCCAGAAGAGGGCATCAGACTCTTGAGATTGGAGTTAACAGAAGTGAGCTCCCATGAAAGTGCTGGGAATTGATCCCAGGCCCTCTGGAAGAAAAACCAGTGCTCTTGATCACTGAGCTGTCCCTCAAACACCATCTTTTTTATTCTTGAGCAATATTCCATGATATGGATATACCACAGTTTGCGCAACCACCTATCAGTTGAAGGATGCCTAATTTGTTTCTGTTTGGAAGCTATTCGAAATAAAACCACCATGAGCATTTGGTGCCAGGCTTTCATGGGCACATAGTTTCATTTCTGTGATTAACACTATATTTATAATTTGTTAATTCATTTAGAAATCATGTATTAAGTTTTTAAAAGAAATTAACAAACTTTCTAGAGTGGATTGCTGTTTTATATTCGCTCCAGCAGTTGTAAGCAATTTGGCCTTCACTTCCCTCTCGGGGCTCAGGAGTGTGGTTTGCGTTGAGTCCAGGTTGATACTTCTCAGTTGTGTGACCTGGCCCTGAAGGTCTGAGGTCGTCCCTTATCTGTGGAATAAGCAGCGTCCTACGGGAGCCCGAGAAAATGATCCCGTGAAAGTTGCCCTGTGTCCCTGTTGTTGTTTTGAGAGGCACATTAACTCATTTCCCTAATCTCATTTTCCTGTTCCATAGCGGTTGGATTTCTTCCCTTACTGGGCTCAACAAGAACATCCCGGTTGGAATCATGATGATAATCATCGCGGCTCTGTTCACAGCCTCCGCGGTCATCTCACTCGTCATGTTTAAGAAGGTGAGTGGAGCCTGGTCTCTGGACCAGGGGAACCCCGCTCACTTCCGGGCTTCTGCAGGCTTGCTCTCCAGAGATTAGGATTTATGGTTATATATAAACACATTTAAACATTTATCATATTTTAAGATTCACATAAAAAGTGAAAACATCCCTGATCTGAAAATTCAGAACCCAAAATACTCAACAATAAGAAACTTTTTGAGCATGGACTTTTTTTTTTTTTTTTGAATTTTCTATATTAGGAAAACTCCCTACCTGACCTTACAGGAGAAATTATAGTTACAGAAGGCAAACACATTAAAATATTGTATAAACTACACAGAGGTATATATATATATATATATATATATATATATATATATATATATATATATATAGTATGTATTAAAAATGAGCTTCACATTTAGACTTGAGTCCCATCCATCTGAATATGCATGCAGTATTCAGAACTCAGAAACCTCGATGGTGCCCAGCATTGCAGATGAAGCTCCTGGGTGTGCACTTTTAAATGTGGTCAATGGAAGCTTCATCATTAAGAAAAGCCTCAGTTCAGTTGTAAAATGGGGACTTTATGGGCCTCTTTTAAATATGAAGCTTATTAGCTTGATGAATAAATATGAATAAAATTATTGTACCAAGTAGATATTTTGTCCATATTTAAAATTTAAAGGCACTACATTATTTAATCCTTAGATTTCTTTCTTTTTATCTTTTTAAAATTATTATTTAATTGAAATTTTACATATCAATCCCAGTTCCCACACCTTCCCTCTTCCCTGTCCCCCACACCTTCCCCCCTCAACCCCCCACCTACTCCTCAGAGAGGGTAAAAACCTTAGATTTCTTTCACCATTTTCTTTATAGTGCCTGGTAGTTTCAGAACATGTACAGGTAATACTTATTGAAATAACTTTGGGCGAGGCAGTACCCTTTAATCCCAGCACCAGGGAGGCAGAGGCAGGCAGATCTCTATGAGTTCAAGGCTAGCCTGGTCTACAGAGGTAGTTCCAGGACAGCCAAGGCCACAGAGAGAAGCCCTGTCTTGAACAACAAAAAAAAAAAAAAAAAAAAAAAAAAGGAAGGAAAAGAAAAAGAACTGCTTTGGTCAGTCTACTGAAGAGTGCTTTTGCACTTGACGTCTGCTTCTTGCCTGCTTGGCTCCCACTCTCCCAGGAGCCTGTTTGGGCTTGGCTCATCCCCTCCGTCCTAGTTCCTGGTTTTGCTGCTGCTTTTTCTCTTAGAACCACACACAGGGACCACTGAAACTTGGCTCTGTGCAGTCCTAAGTCCTCTAGCCTTTTTATTTCCATCCTGCACCACTGTGGTCTCTGTCACACAAGAGTCTTCCCAGGCCTCTGTGGTCAGGTCCTGCTGGGGCTAAGCGCTTCCTGTTTCTCTGTCAGGCCAGTGAAGGTCGGTTGTGAATACTCTGCTGATTTGTTCTTAGGCATTTCATCGCTGTCATCCTTTCCATCTTCAACACATTTCACAGTTTACAGGGGTACATGATAGCGTATCCATTTTGTATCAATGAAGCTGTTTATAAAGACGCTCTTAGAACATACACCTGGGCCTGAGACAGGGAAGGAGCTTTAGGCAGTTTCCATGGCTTCAGAAGGTGTCTTGTCGGCTGTCTGTTTCCATGGCTTCAGAAGGTGTCTTGTCTTTTATTGCACTTTCGGTTACCTTTTCAGAACAACGACATGTTTTTTTGCTGTTGTTTGTTTTTTCTGTCTTTACTTTCACTCCTAACCTCTGACGGTCTGGACAGTTTGTATAGTCCACCCGCTCCTCCTGACTTCCGCATGAATCTAATGACAGCAGCAGCAGCCGCGGGGCCACAACCTGCCATTTGCAGAATGCTTGTGTGGACCGGGGCTGAGGAGTGGACCGGGTGGGAAGGGCTTGTATTCTCTTCAGGTTGTTCTGCCTGTTATTTCCTCTCAGTTTGCTATGCTGTGCTTTGTTGGGGAATGTTATTTTCACGTGTGTGACTTTTGTTTATGCTGCATTTGTTTAACTCTGAAGCTGTGGGTCTTTGCTTGTCTAAAACACCTGATCCTAATAGAGATGAACGGCCAATAGCGAGGCAGGAGCAAGGATAGGCGGGGCTAGCAGGCAGAGAGGATAAATAGAAGGAGCCCCTAGACTGAGAAGACCAAGGAGCAAGCAATGATAGAGCAAGGAGAAGAGGACGTCAGGGTCAGCCACCCATCAGTCACAGCGAAAGAAGGAAGGTAAGATATACAAAAGTAAGAAAGATAAAAGCCCAGAGGTAAAGGGTAGATGGGCTAATTTAAGATAAGGAAAGCTGGCTAGAAACAAGCTAAGGCTGGGCATCCATAACTAAGAACAAGCCACTGTGTGGGATTTATTTGGGAGCTGGGTGGAGGGCCAAAAGAGAAACGTCACACAGTAACGCGTGTTCACCTTTCTGCCGCTTGAGGCCTAGCAGTGCTTTTCAAGCCTTTGCTCAGACCCTCCTGCTCAATCTTTCTTGTTACCTCCATGTGTCTGGGGGCAGTTCTTTGTTTTCTGTGGAGCTTAGGGCTTTTATTGTTCTCTGTAGGATCTCATGGACTTAGGGTGTATGCCAGTACTAGGCTCTGTGGTTCACATGATGTCCAATTTGGGAAGCCTCACCAAATAAGAGGGCCAGGGACCTGGCTTTGCACATGCAACTCATCTGGAAATGAATGCTCTGCCTTACCGCTATGCCCCAAACAGGTTCTCTAACCTCCTGGTTCAGTGTCTTTGCTCGCACCAGGAACCTGTGTGCTTTATCTGTATCCTCGCCTTGAACAGTAACAGGTGTAATTAGTGTGTGATGGGCATGCAGATACTTTTTGGATGAAAGAAGAAATGGGAATAATGACTTTCACATTTTTGGTATGAGGATAAAATGAGTGTAAGCTGCAAGAATCCTCCACAATTAATATAGTTTTTATTTTTTAATCTTGACTCTTTAATATTGAGAGTGATTTAGGGTTTACTTTTTTTGGTTGTTTGTTTTTTTATTTTGTTTAGTCCATCAGAGAAACATAGCAGAATGAGGAGACTAATGGCAAGTAATTGGCATGTTTAGTCGTGAAGGTTGCTGAAGTGAGTCCACATGTGTAGGACAAATTCTTAGAAGGGGTTTGAGTTTGCTTTTTCATTGCCACAATAAGCACCATGGAGGGAACAAGGGGCTTATTTCAGCTTGCATTTCCAGATCACAGTCCACCACTGAGGGAAATTTGGGCAGGGACTTAAGCAGAAACCACAGAGCAGCAATTCTCAGCCCGTGGGTCGAGACCCCTTTGGAGTCTCATATCAGACATCTTGCATATCAGATATTTGCATTGCAGTTCATAAAGTAGCAAAATTATAATTATGAAGCAGTAATGAAATGACGTTATGGTTGGGGTCACCACAGCATGAGAAACTGTATTAAAGGGTCGCATAATTATTAGAAGCGGGAGAAGCACTGCCACAGAGGAGTGCTGTTTTCTGGGTCATGAGCTAGATTTCTCATAACCCAGAGCCACCTGCCTAGGGACAGTACCACCCACAGTGGGCTGGGCCTACTCTGTATCAATCATCAGTCAACATAGTATCTTACAGCTGTGGCTACAGGCCAGTCTGATCTTGGCGATTTTTCCATTGAGGTTTAAACCTCTTCCCAGGTTGTGGGAAGTTGACAGTAAAAATTAACTAGCCCTGAGAGGGGCAGGCTGGAGCTGCAGAAGGGAGCCATAGCCCCATGTCACAGGCCAGATCTCCTTTCTTAGAGGAAGCTTGACTCTGTCCTTGTTGCCTACTTAAAAAAAAACAAAACTGTGTGTGTGGGGTAGGGGTTGCTTGTAGAGGCCAGTGGCAGGCATCAGGTCCTCTGCAGCTGTCCAGCATGGGTGCTGGGAACCCAACTCTGGTTCTTTGAAAGAGCAGTGAGCACTCAGAACTGCCCTCTTCCCAGCCCTATTCCCTGCCTTTCTGTGGTCTAGTCAGATAAAGACCATCTAGGTCCGGGAGGTGGTGACGCACGCCTTTAATCTCAGCACTTGGGAGGCAGAGGCAGGCGGATCTCTGTGATTTTGAGGCCAGCCTGGTCTACAGAGCGAGTTCCAGGACAGGCTCCAAAGCTACAGAGAAACCCTGTCTTGAAAAACAAAAACAAAACAAAACATAAAACCGGGGCTGGAAAGATGACTTAGCAGTTAAGAGCACTGAATGCTCTTCCAGAGGTCCTGAGTTCAATTCCCAGCACCCACATGGCGGCTCACAACCACCTGTAATGAGATCTGGCACCCTCTTCTGGCCTGCAGGCATACATGCAGACAGAACACTTTATACATAATAAATAAATACATATTAAAAAACATAAAACCATCTAGATCGTTCTGTGCTTATATTAGCTATTAACTAACAGTGCATTCTCTCCAAAATACCTTCATCTGGGCTGAGGATTGGTAGTTATGGCCTAGCCTCATCAACGCCTTTCTCTAGAGAGAATTCCTTTATTGTCTCAAGTATATAAGAACGCCTGTGCCTCTGCTGCATCCACCAAGTGCTGGGACTGTAGGTGTGCATGGGCCACTCAGTTTTTAGCCAGGGCTTCACGCTCTCTAGGCAAGCACATACTATTGGGGTAGGTTGTTTAAAACAAGAAATGCATGGTTTACAGTCTTAAGAGAGGCTTCGTGGTAGTCTGTGCATTTCTTTCTTGTAAAGCCAGCTCTCAAGTGTATACCAGCGCCAAGCACTATGCCATGCATGAGCCCTGTGGTTCACATTGTGGTGTAAGATAAGAAAACAAAGAGAATGTGTACCATAGTCCAGTCATTTCATGACTGTCACAGAAGGAAGTACAAGGAGCTAGGAAATGCATAGCAAAGTTTGGGGAGTCTAGTTTTGTTTTTCTTTTAGTGTTTGGCTTTGAAAATTAAATTCTTGCTGTATAATCTTAAGTTAGCCTCAATCTCTGGGTTTAAGCCATACTTTTGCCTCCCAGCCTCAGGGTAGCTGGGAATACAGACAGGTGCCAATATACCAAGATAAAGCCTTAGCCGAGATCATTACAATTGTCTACATAAGGGAATAAGAAAGAGGGGGAAAGCATAGAGGATAAGCAGAAACCAGTTGTGAGAATACAATGTGGCAAATTTAAGGGTTTACCAAAGGTCTAGCATGGACCAGGGAGCAAGTTGGTGCATAGGGTAAGGCAGAGAGAATGCTAGGGATCCGTGGTGGATGATAGAGATGAGCTTGAACACATCAGTATCCTTAGGGCCTTGATAACTAGGAGATCTTGTTAAAAAGTTTTGATCTTCTCCCCAAAGTGGTGGCTCCCAAAAGAAGAAGGAGCAGAGTAATTGGGTTGATGTGACAAGTGTGGGAGAGTTGTGTAGAGGTAGATCAGGATTTGTGGGCTAGGGTGTAGGACTTCAAAATAAGATAGGAAGCCAATAGAGATGGTAGCCTGAGTTAACTACCCTCATTATGAGAAGGTTAGGGCTCATTCTGTTTGGACTTTACTCAAGGATATGTTTTAGGGGATGGGCCATTTAGGAGGAATAGGTTTGGGGCTGGTGAGATGACTCAGTGGGTAAAAGTGCTTACTGCTGAGCTCAGCCACCTGTGTCTGACCCCAGGACCCATCTAGTGTCCCCCAACATGCACAAAAATGAAATAAAAAGCAGGTGTGGAGGTCAAAGTCATCTCATGTTTTATGGGGAAGTTAGAAGTAGTAGTAGACATACGTATGAATAAGCATGGTAGACTTCTAGACAGACAAATAGAAGAAGCAAAGAAATTCAGACTGGGGCATTTTAGCTTCATGGGGTGAGTGAAGCCCAAGAGAACGCATGAGCACAGAGCCAGAAGAGGGCCGAGGGCAGAACTCTCCAGAACTCTCCAGTACAAGAAAATGGGAGGCAGGGCATGGAGGGAGCTCTCATTCCGCAGAGACTGTGTCAGACAGTTGTGCACCTGCTCTGAGCTCCACGCAGGCATTCCTTTCCCCTGTGTTTTTGCTGTTTTCCACGAAGGGATAGTTGCACATGGAGCTCATATTCACCTGCCAGGCATTCAAAATAAATGTTTATTTCCCAAATAAAAGTATTTATCAGCATTATGTGCATATTCTGATGTTTTAGTTAATTTTTGAATTCATTAATAGTTGACTCTTATGTGTTCACCATCAGTTGATGCTGTCTAATTCTTACCTATGAAGTGAGGAGCTCAGACAAATGATTTTCTGTGTGATGTTCTGGAGTGTAATAGTGGCAATATAAACTAAATTATAATTTGAATCAAATAGCAATCCTCATATTGTTTCTAACTCTGATGTAAAGTGAGATCTGAGAACAACTGATTCTTCCACGCTGACTTAAAAACTAATAACAAATTATCAAAACGAAATAACCAGAAAACAAACGAAAGCCCTTGCTGGAGTATGCAGCCCTAGTTTATTACCACTAGGGGTCAGGCTCTTCCTGGCTGGAGCATGCCCTCAGAAGGTCTGTATGTTGGTCCGGACTAGACCAGTGCCTTTGCCAGGCTAGTCCTCCCTTCATTCCTTTTGATGAAAATGAGTGTGCTGTTGAGAACTCATTTTCATTCTGAAATCTTACACAATTAGAGCTGGTTATTGATGGTTTTTGGATGTTCATTGTGCCTTGGTTTCTGCCATGGTGGTGTTTCTTAGCCCAGATTTGGAGTGTTGAAAGAATTTTTATCTTCTGAACTGCTTCATGGGCAGAAACCCTTAGCTTTCACAGGTAGGTTTGATTTTCCATCAATTGTTTCTTTCTTCTTCTATTTTTTCCTTATACTTTCAAGTCAGAGTTTCTCTGTGTAGCCCTAACTGTTCTAGAACTCACTCTATAGACCAGGGTGGCCCTGAACTGAGATCTGCCTCCCTCTGCCTCCTTAGTGCCGGGATTAAAGTTGTATGCCGCCACCACCTGGCACTATCAATTGCTTCTAATTGTGTTCTATGCTCTGTTTCTACAGTGGACTGCAGAAAGCACTGGAGAGTGTTTCAGGGCCACAGTGGTAGATGTTCTAACCGAGTCTGTTAGGAAGACACGAAGGAGTTGCAGAGTATATAGAACCTTCAGACATTGCCCTTCCTTATCCGCTGAACTAGTCGGAATTACTTACTGTTGAAGTGACAGATAGACAGTACAGTTTGTATTCTTTTGGGAACCTGGTTTCCATTATCTTTTCTATGGAATCTGGGAACTTGTTCATAAATATTCATGTCCTCATTAATATGCTAGTTACTAATGACTTTGCATTTCAAAAGAATTTTTGAAGTTATTTCATTTTAAAGACCAAGTTTATTTTAAAAATGAAGCTTATCTAAATACTTTAATTTTTAAAAAGCTTACTGAAATATCTGATCTTCAGATGTTCTTTTCATTTGTGGGGAGTATGGAGTTGGAAGCACATGATTCAGAATAGTGATGACTAAGCCCTGCTGACTTGTTAAGTTGGGGTTTTAGAGCAAATGTTCCCTGGCAATGCTCTATTGTATATGAAAGGGAGTCTCGTTATCCTAAGGTGTAGCTACTGTCCTTGAGAGCACTATGCTGCTGTTAACCCACTTGGTTCATCTCTCTGCTTTTCTTCTCCCATCCACACCACGAGATGGTGAGGTTACCTTCAGCCAGCCGGCAGCTCCTATGTAGATTACCATTTACCTGTTGCATTGATTTCCACCTCTGCAGGTACATGGACTGTATCGCACAACAGGTGCTAGCTTTGAGAAGGCCCAGCAAGAGTTTGCAACAGGAGTGATGTCCAACAAAACTGTCCAGACTGCGGCTGCAAATGCAGCTTCAACTGCAGCAACCAGTGCGGCACAGAACGCCTTCAAGGGTAACCAGATGTAGAGCGCCTCGCCGCAGTGCACTGTTACCATGGGACTGTATTTTTCTCCATTACTGTATTCTACAGATATTTCTATGTTGGAAACACACAGTACACACAGCATGGGTATTTCCTATTCACGTGTGCATGGTCTAAAACCAGAGAAACTTCCTCATCTTATTACTTTGCCTAATAGTTTCTTAATATTTCCACGCCCCTCACAGAAGAAAACTCTCATCTGCTAAATAAATATTCTCCATATTTTTGGGGGATGGTGTTCTCAGATCATTTCCGTGGTGACACACTGAAATGAGCGTGTGACTTAAGATTTAAAGGGCACTCGATACCAACCACAGTAGTTCTCCCAGGAGTCAGTAGAGATAAGGATTAAACATTGGAAATGAAACCATGTTTGTTTCTTTTTCTCTATATTAATATTGCAAGCAAAGACTTGGGTGTTTTTAAATTGGCTTTTTTTCTGAAGTTCAGTCACAGTGAAGAGCCTGTGTGCTTTGTAGTAGATAATGTATATTTTATCTCTTATTTTATTTTTAGACTAGCTGATATTTTGATAACAATCTCTGATCTTGCATGGGTACCATGTCTCTTGAGTGAAACGAATTAGTATTTTGGGTTCTGTACTGCTTATAGTGGTAGGAGCTGGAGCTCTTTATAGAATCAGAAATGATTTTCTGTAATAGTTTCTTTTAAGTAAAAATTTACTGGCATATAAAGACTTTAATATAATGTGCAGTACATTATCCAAAAGAGAGGTAGTGAATTGGTGCAATAGAATATAGTGATAATTCCTTTACCCCTCTTAATTTTCTGTAAAATTTTACTGTATGGAAACTTTGGTATATTCTTCTGGCTAATCTTATTTGAACTGGGATTATGTTTGGCAGCTTTGTGTGTGTGTGTGTGTGTGTGTGTGTGTGTGTGTGTGAGAGAGAGAGAGAGAGAGAGAGAGAGGGAGGGAGGGAGGGAGGGAGGGAGAGGGGTTTTTGCACAGGTATTAAAGGCTAGCCTAACCCTTGAATAAAAGGACATACAGTATTTAAGGGATTTTTCTTTGAGCCTCTCACTTTTAGTTGCATTAAAATAAAAGACCCAGCACTTCTAATATACTTGATTTCTTAATGAATCTGTCATTTACTTTCTGAGACAGACTAAATACATATAAAGCATCACACCAAGCAAGAAAGTACAAGTACAGTTAAATGTGTTAATTATTGATATAATCATATTGACATTGTTACTGTGCAGCACAAGCCGATGTGAGTTCAGACTTTTAATAATGATTAAATGTCTCAAAAACATAAGTCAGACTACCTTATTTTGGAAGTCTTACTAGTTTTAGATTGCAGAATGATAGGTTGTGATTTATCGAAGTTGATTTTAAGCAAGGATGGGTTGCCAAGACAGGCTAACTTTTAAAAAACGGGCTTAAATGATTGAGACACTTTATTCTTTTCCTCAAATCTGGAATCAGGGAGTTTCATGCTGGCTGGGGTACAGTTTGTGGGCTTCATGAAGGCTCACATATCCACCCACATGGGCTACATTAGATTTGCTTGGAAATTTACTGAGTATTGAAGATACTTCTTTTATTTGTCTCTGAAGTACAAATGAAAGACACATCAGGTTTAAAAAATACTTTCCTTCAAAAATGGAAACGTTCTTCTCATTATTAAGTGGCAAAGAATAGTTATAACATACTGTGTTTTTATGTATGAACATTGTTGTTCATTGAACTATTGTTCAATCCAGTTGTTGGGCTCATGCAAGTTTGAAAGAGATTATGTTGTTTGAAATCACACAGGAGCATTGAAATGGTGGTGGTGTCTGCAGCTGGGTCACGTGCGAAAGCATCTCGAAACCCTGCTTTACTATTCTCTCAACAACCATGGTGATAGTTTATCTTTGTTTGCTGAAGATGGTTAGTGTTTCTATTTAATACCAATGTTACTTGCACCACAGTCATGAAATGAGCTTCGTGTAGACCAGGCATCCTTGTGACTTTTCAGTTTTTGATATTAAATGGTGGCTGTTTTATTTAAACTGGGGTCTGAACACTGGGAAATCGCTGTTTGGAGATTTATGGCGTGGGCTTGGTTTATTTCTCTTGAGATGTTTGTGTGCTTTGTTGGTGAGCAACACTGCACTGCCCTCGTGGCGACTGTCACGGTTCTGTGTAAATGCCCTCATGTGTCCCTCTTATGTTGCATGTTTTCAGTGATTTGGAAGTTTTGTATATTTATTGTATTAATGCAGAGTGTCAGAAAATAAAATAATGTTTACTGGATGTTTGTTTGCATAATTTTAAACACTGTTAGCAATTGAGAGACAGAAAATTTTACTTACAGCTTTAATATAGATATTTCAATTTGGTTTTTTAAAAGTGATTTTATTTTTATTATGTGCATTGATGTTCTGCCTTCATGTATGTCTGTATGAGGATGTCAGATCTCTTGAAACTGGAGTTAGGAGGAGGAAGAGAAACTGTCTCAGGTCTAAGGCAAAACTCTATGTGAGCTGCTATGTGGGTGCTGGGAATTGAACCTGGGTCCTCTGGAAGAGGAGCTGGTGCTCTTAACTGCTGAGCCAGCTATCCAGCCCCCTCACATTTGATTTTTAAACCAATCTTTGTACTATTTTATTACGTGTTAAATACACTATAAAAGATTTAGTTTAAAACCCTCAGCAATACAAATTGGCAATTTTTCCATTGCATTAGACCTCTATAGGTTGTTGAATGTGAGCTTTACCATATTAAATATGATAACTGTTTAGAAGTTCATTAGCTTTTGGGCTTAGAATTTTCTTTATGGGCTCAAATGGTGCGTCTGCCAGGACTGTGTTGATCTGCTAATGGCTGTGCTCTTGCCTGATCATGCTCACTGCTGCTGTTCTGCACCGATGAGCTTTCTACTTTGTGCACTGGATTTCTCACCTAGTGACTAGAGACGATGTAAAGTTTAACCCAAAATCATGTTCACATGTTAAATTAAAATAAGAAACACTGTTTTCCATTTTAAAAAGTGAGTTTGTATTTTTAGTTTACTAGAAGCTCATTTCTGTAATCTTTGTGGATGTGGTTTGTACTTCATGGGGATTTTAGTTGTTAATTCCTGCTAATCCAGTATGGACAGCAGATACCACTGGATATGGATAGTTCTGCTAATCCAGTATGGACAGGTACCCCTGGATATGGATAGTACTCCCTGCATTCCTTTCTAAAACACTGACATTAATGTTTGGTTCTCTGTCTTTTTAGTCGTATTTGTGCTTATATTACACAGTTTATATTATATTATATTACACATTTGGGACCCACTTTTTCTGTGTTCCCTTCTGTTTTCCCGTAAGGGAAATTCTCAAATTCTGTGATTCCATGTGACTGAGCTCTTTGGAGATGAGTGGGTGATTAACTCTAAATAACTGGGATGGCTCATTAGATCATATTTTGGTAAGATTTTCAAACATCATAAATTATAGTAGAATAATAGGTTTTAAAATACTGGATCTGCTTTAAATTTTTTTTTATATTTTTAGATTAGCATGTAAATGTTTTTATTTTTACAAATATTCTTTATTAGACTAGTAAATTGTACTTTTATGATTAGAAAAATTAGAATAGTTCTATAAGAAGTTTTGGATATATTTACAAAACAATATGCATGTTGTGTTGGTGAGTTTTGAAACCTTATTTCAGACTTTTTCCGTTTCTCGGGAGCTAGAGGCCTCCTGTGAAAGCATGCTGTGCCAGCATCACCACTAAGTCTGCCTAGTGCGAGGTCACTTCTTCTTTGTCACCATTTATGCCTGACAGTGCTTAAGGATGCATGGGCAGCCCATTTGTGGTGGTTCTCCAGTTGTTCCTGTCCTGGACAGTCCTAGATTCTTGTGTTATTGTCATGCCCAAGGTTCCACTGTCTTCCTTTATGATGTCCAACATTTTTTGGGGGAGGGGACTTCCTCTTCACCTTATCCCGTGCCTTCCACCAAGCAGTGCTGTGTTGGGTATCTGCCGTCATTCACTGTCATAACATGGTTGAAGTATCTCAATCGCCGTTGCTGTATTCTGTAGTTTACTTCCTTCTGTAGGTGGAGATGTCGCAATGTCATCGTTGCACAGCCTATCTCTTCATGCGACCCCTAGAATCCTCCTGAGACATGCCATTTCTAACACACTCAGCCGCTGTTCTGAGGAGCGTCTCATTGTCCAGGTTTTGGAGTTGTAAAGAAGGCAGCTCAAGACAAGTCTCATATACTTGTAATTTTGTTGTCGTTATGTCTCTGGCTGACCAAACCTTTCCTCGTGCCTGGAATGCGGCCCTCGCTATCCTATCCGCGTCTTGGCGTCTGAAATGGTTCCCTCCTTTGTACTGAGGTTTTCTCTCAGAGTTGACTGTTTACTTGAGGTTCTGATTCTTTATTACAATGTTAAAATCCTTGTGCACCCTTCCCAGGTGTTGTTTCCTTTCATACCAAGGTTTTCATTGACTTCCACTATGGTGGAAGTATGGAAAGCTAGAGGTGTATCACCAATTCAGAGATTCTTGGGAAATTTCCCCTTCCCATAGACTTTGTATTTATCATTTAGCTCTGTGGTTTGGGTAGGAGAAAGCCTCCACCTGCAGAGTTTCCACTAGAGCCGTTGGTGTTTTCTGATGGGATGCGGGGCCACCAGGGGGCAATGCAGGGAGCGTTACAGTTTGTGTTTCTCCCAGTTGTGCTCTTTAAAAAAAGCTCGATATTTCTGGGTTTGCCATGACTTCCTGGTATAGTGAGACATTCCTCATGCTAAAGCCTATGTCATCCCTCTACCAAGGAGAGTTAGCAAAGAGTTCATTTTCTTGTAATGCTAGTAATCCATATTTCTATAAAGTCATTCTGCATTCAAACAGCTTTTTTTTTTTTAAAGAATCCTTCCTGCACATTTTATTTTTGAGCCCTAGTTATTTGAATATAATTCTGGGATTCCCCAATTGCTATTTTCTTTCTTTTTGCAATTCTCAAAACGAATGATGGTTGAAGGTATTGTGATTATTGCCATGCGTTGGATCCAAGTGTTTGGGTCCAAGAGAAAAGCAACTAAAACCACTGCCCCTTATTTCATCATGGTTATTTTTCCAGCAGTATCCCAGCCTCCTGCACAGAGAGTGAACCATGTGGACACGCACACACATCCTTAAAATTGTTTCCCCAGTGTGAGAGCCTTTGTCCCCGAGTCTTCTGGCCTCTCCATTCACACTAAAGGCCGCCTGCAGTAATCCTGGCCGGCTCTCCATCCCCTCCTGCTTCTGATGGCCCCTGCTGTCCACGCTGTCCTTCTCTGCCGAGTTCTTTCCTCTCACTGCTGTCGTTTGCCTTTGCTTTTCTGTAAGAGATGAGGAAACTGGAGGTTTCTTCCAAGTATTGGCGCTTGGAGGATTGCTTGCCTATAGATTGTTGGCTCTTTTAGAATGTCTGTCAAACGCGAAAAAGCTGCTAATGGCTGCATGTTATTTGATTGATTCTCCTTTCCACGTGGTTTCAAGTTTCCTACTTCCTCTATTTGTGCTTTTATCTGTATCCTTTGTACATACCTAAGCAAAATTAGCAATTCATGTCTTGAAGAGATTCTGTACAAGTCTTAAGGTTAAGGAGAGGAGCTGGAAGGAAGAAGATGATAGGGGCAGAAGGGGAGAGGAAGCTGCAAGGAAGGAGGAGGTGGGGCAGAAGGGGAGAGGAGCTGGAAGGAAGGAGGAGGTGGGGCAGAAGGGGAGAGGAGCTGGAAGGAAGGAGGAGGTGGGGCAGAAGGGGAGAGGAGCTGGAAGGAAGGAGGAGGGGGGCAGAAGGGGAGAGGAGCTGGAAGGAAGAAGGAGGTGGGGCAGAAGGGGAGAGGAGCTGGAAGGAAGGAGGAGGTGGGGCAGAAGGGGAGAGGAGCTGGAAGGGAGGAGGAGGTGGGCAGAAGGGGGGAGGAGCTGGA